TACCAAGAACATACCTGGTCACCAGGTGAGTAGGCCATGTGGCCTCATGTGCTATTTTACAGAGAACAGCCCTTTGTTGAGAATTGGACTCTTTCTCTCAAGATCCAAGTAATCTTTTTAAAAGACAAAGAAACACAGAAAGGGAAAGCAGAGGCCTTGAAGCCCATGAGCTCCTCATGGCAGAGGGAATGAGGGAGTTGCCTCATCCTACCACTGCAGGATGAGTCATGGGCCACCCGCTATTATGGGTTTTAGCACATGGCCAGCAGGCTGAAGAGCAGACACGCTTCTCCATATGTAGGAAGATCACTTGCTTGCCAATAATATCCACCACTTCTAAAGCCCTCTAGTGCAGGAACACCTTTGGCCTTTATTTACTGTGCTCCTAAGGGTTGGAAAGATGAATGATCTCAGAGGTCTCCCTTTGTACAAATGAAAGAGCTTGGCATCTTCTAATGAAACTGGCTGCTCCAAAGGGATTGGAGTCTAGAGTCTGGCTGAAAGCATTTCTTCTACACCCCCCCTCCCTAAAAGGTAGAGGAAAGCAGAGACAATGGAGGAAGGTGGAGGAAAGTAAATTGATTCTGGGGAGATTGAGGGGAGGAAAGGAATAAATTGCAGGAGAGGTGACTGCCAGAGTGTTTTTCTATCTTTTTTTTTTCCTACACAGATAACATGGTTGTTGGTGTGGAACAAACCTATGGAGGTGCTGATACACAACTGAAGAAAGGACTGAGAAAAGGAGAGTGTGAGGTGAAATTCTAGGTGGTACGGAGGAAGGACAAGCTCCCTGTGTTATCCTTTCAAGAAGGAATCAAGGAGGATCGTATGCATTGCCCTTTTAAATCTCCCCCAACTCCCCTTCCCTGCAGCATTGCCCTTTTAAATCTCCCCCAACTCCCCTTCCCTGCAGCTGCCTTAGGAAACCACTCTGCTCACTCCTGAGATCAGGGCTTTCTCCTGGCAGCTGGAAAAAATAAGAGGAAAAAATAAAACAGGGCCAACTTTATAGACTGCTGCCACCATGTTGTTCTGTCTTGCAATTTCTGTATTTCCATTCACAGAAATGACTTTCCCACCAGATATCCAAAACCCTCAAACACCAAAATAAACCCCAGATAAGAATCAAGTCAGAATGTCTCTAAAATGGCACAGCATGGGTCAGGCATCAATCTGTGTATCCTTTCTGAGACAAATACTGTTCCATAGGGCTAGTGCACTGCTGTACACTGCACTATTAACTTTTAAAGGTTTGGGTTTGAATCCCACAAGCCCTTGGAGCTCCCATTGAATTTAGCAAGCCCCACCCACTCTTCTCCCTTTGCAGTGGCTGCAGAGTTTGAATCCCACAAGCCCTTGGAGCTCCCATCGAATTTAGCAAGCCCCACCCACTCTCTCCCTTTGCAGTGGCTGCAGAGCAGAACATGCTGGGCTTCAGAAGTGTGTGCTGGCATTTCTCTGAGGACTTAGATTTTTTTTGGCTACAGATGCCAGAATTATGGCTGGGGAAACTGCAGTGAAAATAACTCTGGAAGTTCCATACCTAATGAACCCTATTTAGTCACGTAGGTGGTGGGAGCACAGAACTTCATATATGTCTTGCTGCTTCCTTTCAGTTCTTGTCCTAAGCTTTCCCATCTCCAGGGAAAGAAATGCAATGGGTCTTTGAAAATGTACTGAAAATTAGTTCTATCCATATGTACTACAGAAATTTAACAGCCATGTCTATTCCACAGAAATGTTAAAGATGAGGAGTCTCTCATGAAAAAGGAGGAAGCAACCCTGTGTATGGAGCTTGCTAATCTCCATGGGAACTACAAGTACTTGTGGGACTGGTGGTTTTTAAAGATCTACTATGTACGCCTGCTTCTTGGGAGGAAGGCGATGACAAACCTCGACAGCATCTTAAAAAGCAGAGACATCACCTTGCCAACAAAGGTCCGCATAGTCAAAGCTATTTTTTTTCCAGTAGTGATGTATGGAAGTGAGAGCTGGACCATAAAGAAAGCTGGCCGCCGAAGAATTGATGGTTTTGAACTGTGGTGCTGGAGGAGACTCTTGAGAGTCCCCTGGACTGCAAGGAGAACAAACCTATCCATTTTGAAGGAAATCAACCCCGAGTGCTCACTGGAAGGACAGATCCTGAAGCTGAGGGTCCAAGACTGTGGCCATCTCATAGGAAGAGAAGACTCCCTGGAAAAGACCCTGATGCTGGGAAAGCGTGAAGGCAAGAGGAGAAGGGGACGACAGAGGCTGAGATGGTTGGACAGTGTCACCGAAGCGACCAACATGACTTTGGGAGGCAGTGGAAGACAGGAGGGCCTGGCATGCTCTGGTCCATGGGGTCACAAAGAGTCAGACATGACTAAACAACTAAACAACAACAACATGTACAGAGCCTAGAGAGCAGAGAGACCAGAAGTCTCACAATCTGTTGTAGTTCCCATGGAGCTCAGCTATAGGTGCCAGCATTCTGGCTGAGGGAATTCCTGAGGAATTGTGGCCGTCATCGTAGGGGGAGGATGAAAATTCCATGTCTAGGATATATATCTAATCAAACATTTATTTACCTCAGAGTAATTCCCATTGATCTCAGTGGTGCATAGATCTAAACAGACAAGAAAAGGACTACACTACACACAGCCCTTTAAACTACTTTTGAACCTCTCCTTTTCAGACCTTGTCCTCAGCTCTTAATAATAACAATTATAACAAATTCTGAAGGAATGTGTATTTGTGCCACAGTTGGCATCTCTTTTCAGATGCTGTGTTTTCACATTATTTTATATTATTTTTAAACAACCCTTTGCAGTATCTTAACTGAACTAATATAGCATGCAGCAATGGCCCGAAAATCAACAATAATTGCACTGAAAAGTTCATCTCTATTCCTCAAACACATTTCCACTGTTATTTTATCATTTCACTTTTCAAATCTCAATTTATTATACTTATACTGTGCAGGGAGGAAAATTAGTTATGTTGTCACCCAAATGAGAAGAACTTGCCTTTGATTCTATTTGTGTTCACTTGCAATCATTACAGGCGATGTAAAGAAAATTGTTATCTATTTTATGTTCAGAATGCCTATTAAGATCAAACATGGAAGATTATATGGGATGCCCATTTATAACTGGCTGCCAAAGTAGGAGACAGTGCTTTACAATGCAGTATAACAATCCAGGAAAAGCAGTTAAATGTAGACAAAAATCATGCTGTGGAATATTGTTTGCATAAGGCAAGGTGCATAACTAAGCATGTGACCTCATTATGTCTGACTGTAACAGCTAATCAGAACAATCACACACATTTCTTACACAGTTTTCAGTTCAGGCTATGTGACTGCAATAGGATTCTGGCTATCCCAGAAGTCTGGCTTATCAGGAATCCTGGCTCCTGGTCGGAGGTCAGGAGAATATAATTTATGACTAAGGATAGGATTTTTTATCATGCATTTGAATAGTTTTAAACCTCAAGTTCTTTCAGTCCTGCATGTAATATCTGCAGGCTAGTAAATGCTCCAGGAATGAACTGAAATAAATTTTTCAGCCATCTACTCAGCCAAATTCAATAGGTGCAGCTATTCTCCGCATGGAGAAAACAAGATTTGACCCACCTGCCATATTAAAGGGGTCCCTCAGCAAACAGAACAAAGAAAAACAAAGAGTAGCAGATCTTAATCTGCCCTAATATGGTTAAATATGTAGTGACTCAAACCCCAAAGTGACAAATGATGAAGGGCCTCATGGTGCAGTGGTTAAACTGCAGTACTCCAGGCAAAACTCTGCTCACAAACCAAGGTTCAATCCCAGGTAGCTGACTCATCCTTCCATTTTTCCATGGTCAGTAAATTGCAATGTGTAGAGTGCATAATTAAATTATAAACCTCCCAGAAAGTTATTTAAGCGCTATAAAGGTAAAGGTACATTTAGTCCAGTCATGTCCGACTCTAGGGTGCAGTGCTCATGCCCATAGAGGCAGCGTTGGTCCAAAGACAGTTTCTGTGGTCACATGGCCAGCGCGACTAGACATGGAACGCCGTTACCTTCCCACCGTGGTGGTACCTATTTATCTACTCGCATTTTTGCATTTCACATGCTTTCGCATTGCTAGGTGGGCGAGGAGCTGGGATAAGCGACGGGGGCTCACTCTGTTGCATGGATTCGATCTTGCGACTGGTTGGTATTATGACCTTGCAGCACAGAGGCTTCTGTGGTTTAACCTGCAGCGCCACCATATCCCTATTTAAGCACTATGGGGTGGTATATAAGCAGCAGAATTATGGAGGGGGAAATCATCTTCGGAGGAGGATGCAGAACCTTCAGGAGCAGATGGCACGGAGGTGCAGATTGCACAAAAGGCAGGCACATTTTTTTTAAAAGGAAGCATGAACATGTTAACAAGAGGTGTGAAGATGTGTGTTCTTGGATTAAAACTGCTGGGCTTCTAGCCTAAAATCACAAACCTGGGCTCCTCTAAGGCTAGCCATACTACCTTGGAAAGCGAATGAAAGTTTGTCTTTCTTATTAAGTTGAGATTTTGAACATGATAGAAAACTGATATATGGCTTTTCTTTTTCTTCTTCTTTTTAAAAAAAGAGTGTTTTGTTTTGTTTTACTGTATGGCTCTACAACTTTAATCTATAAGCTGGGGGAAAAAAGTGTAACAGCAGCTTGGAAATTATGCCAAGCTTAATTGTATTTAATGTGAATTATGCAAAGAGGAAAAAATTATTTCATACAAAGGAGGCTGACATTTTAATTGGTCCTTCAGAAAAGAGACGAAACAATTTCCTCTCGAGAAAATTTACATCTCCCCCATCAAAACAGCAGCCTCAACAGAGCAGAACTTCATTAACAAGATTAATTATCATGCCAGTGTTTGCCTCGTCAGGTGCAGTGGCCAGGTGAACAGCAGGACACAAAGAAGGATGATGATATTAGGCCTACAATTTACTATTGGTCCAAAGAGAAAACAGGATGCAAAAAAATGCAGCTTACCTTGGTCATTAGCCATTTTGTCAGGATGTTCCACTGCAAAGCAAAAACAGTATTATCAGACTTTTGACATTTTCTCAGAGGTACACTGATTTATCAAATCAACACTTTTGATGAGCATTGATCACGGCTTGGTAACATTACTGTTTTTAATTACTGCTTCCCAGAATCCCCAGGCTGTGTGTGGCCTGATGGGGATAGATTCTGAGCATCCCAAAAAAGTAACTTTCCAAGCTGCAATGAAAGGGAGTTACTTTTGTTCAGAACACTGATTGGCACAAGAGGAAATAATTTAACATCTACCTCATTTAATTTCAAACTCGCTCAGAGCGGCAGAAAGCACAAGTTGTGGATTGTGTCATTCATGCTTCATTACTAAAGGGAGTCAGATGCTGCTTGGTAAAAGCAAAGAAACACCCAAATTGTTTTTCATTCACATCAGAGGTATCAAATTGAAAGTGTAATTAAGAATGGAAGTGAGACGAGGGAACAAGAGACGGTGCTTTGAATAATTAGACACAAATCCTCCTGTGTAGAGAATGCTACTTCTGACTTGAGTTGTCGTCATTTTGCACTTTGTGTAAAAGCAATTTTGCATGCTTTTTATACAATAATCAAATACAAAAGAAGGATGGGATTACACATATTGCAGGTCTTCGGGACTTACAGTTAATGCCCGCTTTCTTCAACAGCCGTCGTCTGCAACTATTTATTAAGCAGTGAACAGAATCTGCCTCCACTAACTTGCAGAATTCAAGCATCTTCTCTATTTATTTCAAAACATTTAAAAGAACTGTAATGTGATGTTTGCTCAGACAATTTCCTTGAGTGAATGCTTTACTTTCTACTTTTCAGCAGCACATTGAATGGGGTAGGATGGTAACCCAATAACTTCAAGGGGATTTCCTTCCTTCTTTCCTTACTCTACTCATTTCTCTCTTTTTCCCCCTGAAGTTTAGCCAGAAAAAAAGAGAGAAATCAATTAATCCAATCAATCTATAACTGACATGATTGCCTGGCTGAGCTGTGTGATTCTTCAAGACGTCAGTGTCAAATTTTAAAGTACAGGCATCTGAGCTCAAGAAACTGATGACACACAACAGTTCATTATGAATGAGAACAAATAATAAAATGCAAATGTTGTTTCATTCACTCAGTTGCTTTCTAACCTAGTCATTATGTCACAAAAAAGACAAACAGATATAAGGAATTATGGTACACCGCTCAAAATATAGTTATTCCTCTTATCAAGTGACATTGTTATAATGGTAATATGGGAGACACAGACCGTCAATCCAGTACCCATTATGTATTGTGCCAAACCCTACAGGAAAACAAACAAACCTGAAGCATAATCTGTGTTCCTGAGTTGCTTTGAAATATCAAGTTTTTGGAAATTCAGCTGTCAGCTTAATGGCCACAAAGAGAAAGAGGCAAAAATATGGTAAGGTGACATCTTTCAACTGTAGCCACAGTGACCCATGGAGTTATTTTTGATTCTTTTATTCTGTGGTTGCTTGTTCAAAATCTGACGGGGGTACAAGGGAACCTGTACTTTAAAAAAATGTGTTTGGAAGAATTCATAAGAAGGAATTCACAGCTTTGAATTAGTATGTGCAATTAGTATGTTTCCACAGAGTGGGGGTTGGGAGTATAGTATAGGGATGCCCCCACTTTGATAAAGTTACCCCTCCACCTTGTTTTAGGGATCTGTTTGTCCTAAATTATTTATATACTATCATTTCTTCTAGGCATTTTGATTACTTTGTGGCTTCAAGCAATAAGTGCCTAGAGAACTTGTTGAAAAACTGCTCTGCCCATTGCTTTGTGTTTCGGTGAGAAATGGTTAACTGAGGAAGAAAAGGAGTCAGCTTCTGGGATTTTCCCTTGACTTATGTCCCTCTGTGAATGGTAATGAGCACAAGAGGGTGTCCTGCAGACCAGTGGTCCCCAATCTTGGGCCTCCATATGTTCTTGGACTACAACTCCCAGAAGCCTTCACCACCATCTCAGCTGCCCAGGATTTCTGGAGGCCCAAGGTTGGGGACCACTGTTATAGACCATCTTGACTGCTGTCATTGGCGTTGTCAACATACAGGCTGCCCTTTGCTTTGTAAAGCTTGACATCCTTTTTTTCTGCTGACAATGTGGGCATGATATTGCGCAACAATCTTGAATCATGTGATCATCTTCTGGGACCGTCTAGTGCTAGATGATACCAGAAGATGATTGCATGATCTCTAAAACTGGTTAGGGCTGTTTTGGACTTAATGAAATGGTGAAGCAAAGGTCTGAGTGAGTGCAACGCATAAAACAGAGAAATATATGTACCCTTTAACCTGACAATGTGGGCATGATATTGCGCAACAATCTTGAATCATGTGATCATCTTCTGGGACCGTCTAGTGCTAGATGATACCAGAAGATGATTGCATGATCTCTAAAACTGGTTAGGGCTGTTTTGGACTTAATGAAATGGTGAAGCAAAGGTCTGAGTGAGTGCAACGCATAAAACAGAGAAACATATGTACCCTTTAACCCTAATGTTGCCATGCTTGTTCTGCACTAGAAAGCTATATTCTGGTTTCCAAACCCTGGCTTTACAAACATGTTGCCTGCATGTTTTCCAAAACATGTGCCCTCATCTTTTGAAATATTAAAAAAGGGGAGTCTGGGAGCTAGCATGTGAAACCAAGGTCAAAATCATCCATACTATGTAAAAGATGGACAGTGAAGAAAGATGGGGGCTGGGATCAACTAATTTAAAATGTGGTGTAAGGCTCACTTCATTTGGAGGTGAGCCTTACAGATACCACAGACCGCTGGAAAGGAAAATAAGTGAGCGTTCAATGAACTCAAGTCCAAATTCTCACTAGAGCAAAAATGAGCAAAATGGAGGCTCTCCTACCTTGCACATACAATGAGAATACAAGCTGGAAAAGACAATATTGCTGTGAAAAGTGGTGCGGGGCAAGAGGAAGACCTTACATGAAATGGGTTGACTCAACAAAGGAATCCACAGCTGTTAGTTTGCAAGACTTGAGCAGAAATTACTTGGAAAATACAATATTGATGTGGGGGGGGGCAGTAGGAAGATTGAACAACCTAATATGAGATGCTCAGATCTTGGTGTCTAAGATCTGGGCATTTCTGTTAATGACATGACATTTTGGAGGTCATTAACTCATATAGTCACCACACATCAGGAGGGACTTGATGACATAACATCTTTGTTGTTGTTGTTTTTTAAATTGCCAAGCAATTGTATAGTGACAAGATGGGTGGAATGGAGACTATGATAAGAGAGTATGACAGGTATAGGAACTATACTATAGGATGGTCTTACTTGCTAACATCAAGTAAGACCATCCTCAGTTGCAAAGCAAAAAACAATAAATTCACAGCTTAAAAGAATGAG